TCATTCTTTTGGTTTTGTTTTATAATGTCTTGATTTCTCATAAAGCCATTAGCTTCCACTTGCTCCATTCTAATTTTTAAGGAGTTATTTTCTTCAAAAGTGAGCTTTTGGAATTCCTTTTCCATTTGGCCAATTCTGCTTCTTAAGGCATTCTTCTCCTCATTGGCTTTTTGGACCTCTTTTGCTGTTTGGGTTAGGCTATTTTTTAAGGTGTTATTTTCTTCAGTATTTTTTTGGGTCTCCTTTAGCAAGCTATTGACTTGTTTTTCATGATTTTCTTGTATCACTCTCATTTCTCTATCCAGTTTTTCCTCTACTTCTCAAAATCCTTTTTGAGCTATTCCATGGCCTGGGACCAATTCATACCTTTCTAGGAGGCTTTGGATGTAGGAGCTTTGACTTTGTTGTCTTCTTCTGGTTGTATGTTTTGATCTTCTTTGTCACCAAAGAAAGATTCCACAGTCTGATTTTTTTTTTTTGCAGTTTGCTCATGATCCCAGCCAATTACTCGAGTTTTAAACTTTTTGTTAAGGTAGGGCTTTGCTTCCGGTGTGGAGGGCATACTGTTCCAAGCTTCAGGGGTTTTGTGCACCTGTTTTCAGAGACACTTCTAAGGACCTGTAAATTTTCAGTTCTTCCAAGGTGCTATGACCAAGGGCAAGGTGTTTACTCCTTTCCTGGCCTGTGCTCTGGTTTATGAGTGACCACAAGCATTCTTTTCTGCCTTGGAACTGTGAGGAGGATTCTCTCTCCATCATCACCACAAGCTCCACCATGCCAGCGCTCCTCCTCGCCATAGGACCTCCACCCAGAACTGCAACCCAGATCCAAGAGCAGGCAAAGTAAGAGAATCCTGCCTCAGCACCAGCAAAGAGAGCCCTGTATTCCCCCTCTGATTAGCCACTCGATTCCCTCTCAGTCTGTGGGCCAATAGCTCAGGAAACAGCCGCTGCCCCAGGGCTGCGCTGGGACTGGGGCCAGACAGAGCTCCTCTCTTACCGCAGCTGGACAGACCTTTCCTAGTGACCTTCTAAGTTGTCTCTGGTGTTCGTGGGTTGAGAAGTCTGTAAACTGCCATGGCTGCCCGTGATTCAGTCCTCTGAGGCCTGCTCCAGGATTACTGAGGCCTGTTTACCTACGCATCCATGGTGAACTGCGCTCCTCTCCCAGCCTGGCACAATAGACCTTTCCAGTCAACCATCCAGGTTGTCTTGGGCTGGAAATTTGTTTCACTCTGTCTTTTTGTGGGTTTTGCTGCTCCAGAATTCGTTTAGAGCCATTTTTTACAGGTATTTGGAGGGGTTTGGAGGAGAGCTCAAGCAAGTCACTGATTTTACTCCACCATCTCGGCTCTGCCCCCAGCTGATTTTTTAAACCAAAGTGTAGAACTTTGTAGAGCGGATGTGGGCCCTGGCTGTAGCCTGCTGATGCTGACTTTACCCTCTGCTGCCCATCCCTCTGAGCTCTGGTTATCTGCCCGCTGCACACATAAGTCACCTCTGCTTTTGTCCAAACCAGGGGAACAACATTAAACGGAACAGGCTTAATTCCCCAGCTAGTCTAACAGGTTCCTTTAGAAAATGCTTTTGGTATCACTGACATCAGAACATAACATTCTGAACACAACTTAAAAGTCTTTGAACCAAGATTTAAACTGTTTTCATGCCAAGCTGTGTGAAAGCAGAAAACAAAATGATTTCTGCCCCTCTTGGCTTGAGGGATGAGTCTTTGCTCCTTACTTAAAGGATGAGCAAACTAGACCTATTGAGTTTTTGTGGTCACTTTGACCAAAAATTCAACAAATGTGATTAAGGTCCCTCTGTGTGTCAGTACTGTGCTCAAGGCCGGAGCTACAAAAACAAAAGTGTTTGGGTCCCACCACAGGATGCAACAAGCTCACAAAGACGTAAAATCTGAGGGAGGGAGGAATCCAGCTGTCAAGGATAGTAAGAGCACTCCCAAAGAGGGGACCTGGAAAGGCTTCCTGGAGGAGGCAACACCTGGAGTGAGCCTTAAAGAAAGGCAAAGATTATAAGAGGCAGAAGGGAGGAGGGAGGGCATTTCAAGCCTGGGGAATGGCCAGGGGAAAGACCCAGGAGCAGAGGGCGGAATGCTGAGATTAGAAGAGCCAGTAAACCCAGAACACAGGGGAGAAGGCAGGCCAAAGTCCAGTTCTGAGGGAGCTTACATCTGTTTTAGGGGCAGGAGGGAGCCACTGAAGGGGAGCAGAGAGGTGAGGGGAGGGAGAGGCCCTGGCAATCATCCGTGAAAGGCTGACTCGATGGTGGTGGGGTGGCTTTTTGAGTGCAAGGAGGACCCCGGATTCCAGAGATGCCGGGGAGGTAGAACTGATGGGACTCGGCCACTCACCTGGGGAGTGCCAGGCCTGGTGCAATCAGGATTCGAAGCACCAGGCCCTTCAATAAAGAGCTCTCACCACCCCACCCCAGGTAAAAGATGACCCATTGAGAAGTCAGAAACAGTCCAGGAAAGTGAAAGCAGGGCAGAGCCCCCTCAAGGAGACTGAGTAGGGGGAGGCATCCTGCTGGATGCACAGGAGAGTTCTATCCAACTTTGAAAGCACCCACACTTCACAAACTGTCCTCAAAAACTACCAACGTCTTTTTTGTGAGACAAATATAGTCCTAATACCTAAACCAGGGAAAGATAAAACACAAAAGGAAAACTATTGCTCAATATCATTAATGAAAATTAACTAAAAAAAAAACCCTATCACATAGACTACAGCAATTTGGCCAAGAAATCATTTGTTCTGATCAAGTGGGATTGAGCCAGGGATGCAAGGACGGTTCACCATCAGGAAGGCAATCCACACAATCACGCTAAAAACCAAAGTATCCACAACCAAACAACCGCAAGACCATCTCAACAGAAGCAGAAAAAGCCTTTGTAAGGTACGACACTGTTATACGAAAAACCCTACAAAGCATGGGTATAGAGGGACCTTTCTCGGCCATGTCAGATTCTCCAAGACCCCTTTTCGGAGTTTTCTTGGCAAAGATAATGGAGCAGTTTGCCATTTCCTTCTCCAGTATGCTCCCATTTTGCAGATGAGGAAACTGAGGCCAACAGGGTGAAGTAACTTGCCCAGGATCACCCAGCTCCTGTTGGAGGCCAGATGTGAACTGAGGATGATGCAGGGCCAGAACTCTGTGCACTATGGCGCCCCCTAGTGGCTTTCACCTGGAAAGTGCCTTTCGGCCTCAGGCAGATTTACTTTGGGGAGCAAGTTACCACCTTTCAAATGAACAAGCCACTCCCTTGTGCTCTTTGTTAAGGAAACATCCCAACACAAAGGAAAATCTTATCCGGGCCTCTAACAATGTGACTGCAGGGATGACTGCCTCAGGCCTGGGCTGGGCCGGAGAGCCACCCAACTTCCCAATACCCCAGAAAGCTCAGGCCAATAATAGCTGCCAAAGTTTTCCCAATCCAGGAAGAAAGCATGTTCTGCCCTGGGGAGTCTGGAAGGCCTGGGCCAGCCCCAACCCCTCTCAGGGCCCCCAGGCAGCTTTCTAAGCCTAAGGGACACCCCTGCAGAAAGTCTGCATACCAGGATGTCCCTGTCCCGGGAAATCAAAGACCCAAGGAGAAGAAGAAAAGCTTCACTGGAAGAAGACTCTTCACTGGGGTGTCAGAAACACAGTTCTAGCAGCAGGCTCTAAAGATGGACTGAGGCCGGGAGATGGGCCCCGCAGGAGGGGCGTGCAGCCACAACTGCAGCCAGGATCAGCCCCAGAGCCCTCATCTGGGGGCCTGGAGCCACCCCGACCACGATCAGGGCCAACCATCCATGGGGTCGAAGGCAGGGCTGTCAAACCCCAACAGCAATAAGGAACCACAATTTCACATGCTCTGGATTACATTTTTAATGTGGATTTTGCTAGCTTTCATCAAGTTCAGGGTACACTCAGGAAGGCTATCATAGGTGGCCTCCCGTCAGACGCCCTGGTCTAAGCCAAAGGCTTGCTGGGCCAAGCATGAGTTCAGTGAGATGCCAAATCTAAAGGAGAAGGTGAGATACAAACATGGTGGCAGAGCAGCCCTGGAGACCGAGGAATGGTCCTAGATGGCCGAGTTTCCAGCTTGGGCAATAAACACGGACATTGGGGGGAACCAAGGTTGCTTTGGAAAAGAAGAGGAAGGAGGAAGTATTTACTAAATTCAATGGTAAGACACATGAAGTTTTGAGAGAGGACTCTAAGTCTCCCAAGTAGAAATGACCTGCAAGGCAGATGGAAATTCAGAACCTGAACTTGGCTTAGAAGTGGAACTGGCTCAGTCTGAATGGCACCAACTCAGAGCCGGGAGAAATGAGGGGGGAGACAAGACTAGCTGTACAAGGAATGGAGCAGAAGGCCCCAAATCAAGTCTTCTGGAGAGCCCCCAGTCCTGAGGTAGGAAAAAGAAGTGAACTCCCCAAAGGAGAGGTCCAAGGGGCCTCGGATCTCAGTGTTTACAGGGAGAGGGTGCAGGGTCAGCCATGTCCTCACACCCACCTCCAGGCAAGCCTCGCCACTTCTGCCTTAACTGAAACCATCCAGCCACTGGCATCCCTTCCTGGTCACCAAGTACAAAGAGATAGGAAGAGCACCAACCTCTGTCTAAGGCTTGGCAGTGGACCACTGCAGGCAACTCAGAGAATCGACTCAGGGTGTTCTCCAAGTATGTCCTCACTGAAGAGTCTCTCTTGCTACTGCTAAGAAAAGCTCCCCTGTGAAAGGATGAATGCCCTAGCAGCATCTCATTTCACTCCAGTACGGAACCTGGATGAGTCAGGCCCAGCCCTGAAGCCCTCACTGTACCGAGAAGGAGCCTGACCAAGGATGCCCACGTGGAAAGCTTGACAAAGCAAGTCCAGTCTGATGGGGAACCTGTGGGCCCACTCAGAGGCCTGGCAGTGCCAGGCTCTCTGGCACCATCCTGTTCCCTGTTCTTTCATTTCTAAGGCACAATTTTCCGCTTTTGAGCACACTCACCGTTCCTGGTCTTGTGAAGTCAATGCTGTGGGCTAAGCTTTGCCTCATTTGGTTGCTGCAGAGACGGACGCAAACGCTCTGCAGATACTCTGGCGTGATCTGCAGTATGGACATAAGGGCATCAAGTTAGGGGAAGAAAAGGGCCCCAGCTCCTTGGCACCTGTGGGTGCCACTGCCCCATCAGCTCTCCACAAAGGGGGCACAAAGGTAACTCCCTCTCTTTAGCCCAACTGTGGAGTGAGGCGGGACAAAATAGAAACGCGTTATTTTTATGGTCTGCGCCAAACTTCTGCTAATTTGGCTCTACTGCCTGTATCTGATGTTTCTGTAACGTTCACAATTCATCAAGCAGTTGGGTTTGCCTTCTTTGGCTTAATTCTATTACTCAAGCTCCCAACTGCCATAATTCCTCCTCACTGTCTCTGCTGGAACCTGTCCATGCCACATGGTCCGGGATTAGAGAGGCTCAATAGCTCATAGTCCGTGCATCTCACATTCAGCTCTAGATCCACACTGGCTTGGAGTCTAGTTCAGATCACGGTATAAGAACAGACGACAATTCAAAATGACAAGCAGAGGCTGAAATCAGAGTAAAGAAACGCACTGAGTGCACAGGAGCTAGATCTTTCTGAGCCTCAGTTTCTACATCTGCCAAACAGGGAGGAAGGAATACCTGTAGTAGCAACCTCCCATGTGAGAGCCTGGGCCAAGTGTCTGACAAACTTCCATGTGTTATACAAATGTCAGCTAAGCCCATTTTGGTCATCTCTGTCTGTGCCTTTTAGAAGCAGCAACACGTGTCTGATGTCTGCTACAACCAGGGGAAATCTGGAAAGGTGGAAACAGCTACAGGGCTTCCTACGAGGAGTTGCCCGGCTCCCAGGCCCCCAGGCCCTCAGCTGGGCGGCAGTCTGCCTCAGACCACAGGGTCAAGGAGAGTACTGCAACCCCACACAGCTTAGGTTCCATTACAGAGTCCTCTTCCTTGGGTCTGATTCAGATGAAGGTTCTCAAACCATTTCTATCTATGTGGGAAACCACACTCCCTCTTGAGATAAGGTCGACTGCTTTCTGTAGCCATATCTCCTAGGATATGGGATGGAGAGCCAAGAAGTCCTGGGTACAAGTCTGGCCTCTGACACACCTGGGCAAAGGTTTTCAGACCTCGGTGCCCCAGGCAACGCCCTAAGACAGTGCCCATCTGCACTGGGGGAAGGCGCTTTCTACTCAGGAGTTCCTGGTACCGATAAAATCACTGGCCTGGAACAACAATAGCCAATATATAGTGTAGTGCCGCTCACAAAGAGTGATTCTGTGAGGTGGAGAATGCAAAGATGGGGGCTGGGAAGATACCCCAATGACAGGGAAGAGATCTCAGGGAGGGGGAGCTGGCCCAAGCCAGGAGGCCGCCAACGTGTCCCCCACTATGGAGGGAGGGGCCGGTGTGAGACACAAGGGCACCTGGTCTCTCCCTCCTCTAAGTCGCTCGACTAGATATGCAGACAGCCCCAACACAGAAAACAACCCAAGGGGCAAGGAGACGTGCTTAGCTACGAAGACACAGAGGCAGAAAGAAGAAGGGCTGAGGTCTTGATAGAGATCCTGGGTACCTCCTGACAGACACGCTTATCCATGAAGCTGAGTGAGAAGTTGATGTGGCTGTAAAGGACCATCTCGTTCGGGGCACCACAGAGGGGAGAGACCCAGGCTTTCTAGAGGCTAGACAGGGTCAGAGCTAGGTTTTCTCCCTCTGACCCTGAGCTCACATCTGGGTACCAAATCTGGCCAGTGGTGTGGCCCTCGGTCGGGTCACTTCACTTCTCCCTCTCTCCCCCTCCATTCCCTCACCTGTGACGTAGCTGGTATTTGTGTTCCCATGCCAGAGGGCTGCCCTCAGAGACGCAGGGGCCACGACACCTCCCTCGAGATCCCAGACTCACCATCTTGCCGCTCACGGTGGCCTCCAGAGAATCCACTAACTCGGCCGTGACCCCGATGAGGTTGTGGTAGTCAGCTTGGATTCTGTTGTGACGCCTAAGGTAGATCATCGTCCTTCGCTCAGCTTCCACCAGCTGCTGGTGCAGCTGCTGCAGCATTTCTGAAAAGAGAGTGTGGACATCAACAACGAGCCAGGCCCGGGGCCCAGAGCGACGCTCTGATAAAAGGGCAGCATCATCTATCGCCACTGAGCGTCCTGTGAGCACGAATATCTCCCTCACGCCTCCCCGCGGTGGGGAGATGACCGACCCTGGGTCCTCCCAAGTTCTGGCCGAGGCCACTCAGTCGAATGATTAGCTTGCTGAGACCCACCCTAGCTCGGCACGACAAGGCTTATCCCCAGGAAGCCAGCCACCAGGTGATTACTGGCCGTGGCACCCCAGGAAACAGAAAAATCAAAATGCCATTCGGTGCCATGAGGCCCCTTTTACTTTGTCAGGGGCAGAAGTGGACAAAGGAGCAGCAGGACCTCTGCTTGTGTTTTGGGATCAATGAACATCAATGTACCTGCTGGTACTCTAAAGAGAAGATCATTGCCCAGTAACCAGTAAGGCGATGCATCAGTGGAAGGACTCAAGCACCCTGATCTTGAGGTCCTCCCTCTAAATGAAACCAGGAGATACAAGGACAGATGGAAGGAGTGGCGCAAAGCCTCCTTGGGGACACAAATTGAGGAACTGGTGGATTTCACTGTATTTGCGGCCCAAAGGCAATGATCAGTGAATCATCTTGCACTGCACCTGGGTCAAAGACAAAATGAGGCGCAGCCAACATCTGCCACAAAGGAGGAGGGCTCTGTCTTACCTCTCCCTCCAAACCAGGTCCATATACACTTGGAAACATTATTTGAAATGTCCCTGACTCTGTTTTGCTTCGACAATTAAAATGTTGATAGCCATCAGCTGGAAGACCTTTAATGAGATGGGGGAGCAGGGGAGGGGAGGGAAAAGTTCCCTGCAGAAGATCTTGAGGCCCATGCAACAAAAGCCCACCCATTTACAGAGGACTCAGAAGTCTCCCACCCACATGTTCGAGGAGAAAGTATGGAAACATGCTGGGCACCAAGTCTGCCTGTTTGTTTGAATGAAATTGACTTTATCTGAGGAGAGAGGACGGCTCAGTGAGGGCAGGAAGCATGTGGGTTTCATCTTGGCAGCCACAGTACAAAGTGGGTGCTGGGTAAGTATATCTTGGACTGAAGGTCAGAAACAACCCTCCAAGGCAGATTGTTGACTGTTCAGGTCAAAATCAAGGCCAAATGAGAAGAAAGGATAAAAGAAGTTAGGAAAATGCTGGGTATGATTACAACTGCTTCAACCTGACCTGCTTAAACAAACGAGAAAATACCAATAAAGCTCTTTGAAAACCTGAAAGCCCTATGTAAATGTCAATTCTTTATTATTATTCTTATTGGACAGACACCAAAAATGTGATTAAGATCAAGGTGGTGACCTTTCTGATCACTATATCCTACAAAAGTCTAAGTAACATAAAGTGCTCAGCACAGAAGGGAGGCCAACAGAGCCTAGAAACCAACCAAGGCCACAAACACCTGACTTTGTCACCAAGAAGAGATGTTTTCCAATCCAGGACAACGCCGGTGTAGAGTCAAAACTCAATTTGTATCAGTAGCTGACACACAGCATTTGACAAGTTTGTTCTCTCACCAGACTCTCCCAACATCCCTGTAAGGTAGGTGTCATGCTCTCCAGTTTACTGAGGAGGAAATTCTCTGGCATGGAAACTCCCTCAAACAACACAAGGTGGTGTCAGTTGTCTGGGGCTATCCAGGGTCAGAGGTAGGATCTGAACCTGGATCTTCCCAACTCCTCATCCCTGCATTCTATCCACTAGGGCAGAGTTTCTTTACTTTTTGTGTGTCATGGACCCTTGGGCAGTCCGGTGAAATCTATGGACCCCTTCTCAGAATCATACTTTTAAAAAATTGAAGGAAATGCTAATTTTCAGTTAGAGTGAAAATAAAGATGTAATTATTTTTTCTCATTCAAGTTCAAAGCCCCCCTGAAATCCACCTACAGACCCTAGCAGGAGGATATCCTCAACAGGAAAGGTGAAAACAGGTAGGCTTTTGCAAATGACTTTCCACAGCAGACCCATCTGACAGTCACATAACTGACCAATAGGTTTAAAGAATATGAGATCCTACTGTTTAATTACAAAAAACAGCTTGACTCAGTACAGCAAAACAGGCTTAAAGACTATCTTGCAACAAAAACTCACTCATGCCTCCAGTCTTTGGAAAAGAGGAGTGCACACCCTTCCAGACAATGGCAAAGCACTTGGGAGAGTGTTCATTTATTTTCTAGCTTGCTTAATGTTGATAATGGATCTTAACATAGACATGAGATCACTACAAATCAAACACTCCCAACAGTCACGTTAGCTAGCTCTTTCTCCCTCCTCCCTTTCCTCCCTTTTTTCTTCCTTCCTTCCTCCCTTCCTTCCTTCCCTCCCTCCTTCCTTCCTTCCCTCCTTCCCTCCCTTCCTTCCTCCCTCCCTCCTTCCTCCCTTTCTTCCTTCCCTCCCTCCCTCCTTCCTTCCTTCCTTCCTTCCTTCTTCCTCCTTCCTTCCTTCCTTCCTTCCTTCCTTCCTTCCTTCCTTCCTTCCTTCCCTCCTTCCCTCCCTCCTTCCCTCCTTCCTTCCCTCCTTCCCTCCCTCCTTCTTTCCCTCCTTCTTCCTTCCTTCTTCCTTCCTTCTTTCCTTCCCTTCCTTCCTCCTTCCTTCCTTCCTTCCTTCCTTCCTTCCTTCCTTCCTTCCTTCCTTCCTTCCTTCCTTCCTTCCTTCCTTCCTTCCTTCCTTCCTTCCTTCCTTCCTTCCTATCACCTTCCTCCTAACATTCAGTGCTCCTTCTTCCTTGGTTGCATTCTTCTACCCTTTGGGCAGGTCAGGATCCCCTCTGTCTTGTGTTCTCTTGAGGCGCTGTTAGTATCTTAACGAAGACTTCATTCTCCTTGATCAGCTAGAGAGGAGAAAGGTGTTCCTCTAGCCCTCTGGCATCCTCTAGCATGGGCATTAACCTATACTTCGGGCAGAACTAGTTTCTGCGAGGGCAGAGTAAAGGGTCACAACGGCCAAATTTCCCCTAAAACCTCTTCGACAGAATGGCCACAGAAAGTGCCAAACTGAATTCTGAGCAGAAAAGCCAACAACAAGTCAAAGTGAGCCTTCATTCCACCCCAGGGAAGCTTAGACAGAAAGAGAGGTTTGCAGATATTGGGGGAGGCCTGGCCAGGAGCACAGTCTGCGGGTTATAGTGGAGGCAGCAGCTGCAGCAGCACAGTCAGAGCACTGGACATGCCCAAAACACAGGGAAAGTGAGGCAACTGAACACTTGGGCAGAAAGAGATCCCAGGAGGCCCCTCTGCCAGCACTAAGCATAGGATCTGGCACCACTGGGCTGCTCCGTAGACTATTAGCCAGATCTAGGTCTCAATTCAGGGTGGAGAGGAGCAGGGGCCCTACCTAGGGACCCTACTGGGCCTGGAATATGATATTCCAGAAGGCAAAGGAAACAGGATTACAACCAAGAATGACCTAACAGGATTACAACCAAGAATGACCTAACCAGCAAAACTGAGTATAGTCCTACAAGGGGGGAACTGGGTATTTAATGAAATTGAGGACTTTCAAGCCTTCCTGATGAAAAGACCACAGCCGAATAGAAAATGTAACATTCAAACACAAGACTCAAGAGAAACATAGCAAAGTAAACATAAATGAGAAATCAAAAGGGATTTAAGATTAAACTGTTTATATTCCTATACGGGAAAATGGAACATGTAACTCCTAAGAATTTTATCATCAGTAGGGCAATTAGAAGGAGCCTACTTAGAGGGCATGGGTGTGAATCTATTATGTTGGGATAATCTCAAAAAAAAAAAAGAATGGAAGAGTGAGAAATAGGGAACCACTGGGAGAAAAGTGGGAGGGGTGAGAAAGAATTATCTCATAAAAGAGGCACACAAGGAAGAGTATTACAATGGAGGGGAAAGCAATGGGAGGCCACAGGAAGCAGGAATCTCTTGAATTTCGCTCTCATTTGAATTGGTTCAAAGAGGGAAGAAAAAAAGTGCGTGTGTGTGTGTGTGTGTGTGTTGTGTGTGTGTGTGTGTGTATACACACACATAAACACATATATACACACACAGAGCTGGGTACAGAAATCCATCTTACCCTACAGGGAAGTAGGAGGGGAAAGGGCTAAAGGAACAGGGAGAGAGAGTAAGAGGGAGAGTAGATTAAGGGAGGCAGTGATCAAGAGCTAAGTAGAGTTTTGAGGAGGGGACAGAATACAAAAAGAGAAGGATAAACAGAGGAGAATAGAATGGAGGAAAATACAGTTAGCAATCATAACTGTGAATGTGAATGAGATGAACACCATTATAAAACGGAATAAAATGGCAGAATGGATTAGAAACCAGAATCCAACAATACGTCGTTTTTAAGAGACACACTTGAATCAGAAAGACACACATAGAGTTAAAATAAAAGGCTGGCACAGAATCTACTTTGCTTCAGCTCAAGTAAAAAAAAAAGTCAGAGGTAGCAATCATGATCTCAAACAAAGCAAAAGCAAAAACAGACCTAATTAAAAGAGACAATTAGGAAAACTACATTTTGATAAAAGATACCATAGACAACGAAGTAACATCAAAACTGAGTACATATGACCAAATGGCATAACATCCAAATTCTTGAAGGAAAAGTTAAATGAATTATGGGAGGAAAAAGAGTAACATTATACTAGTGGGGGACCTCAATTTACCCTTCTCCAAACTAGACAAATCTAACCACAAAATAAACACGAAAGAAGTTAAGTAGATAAATAGAATTTTAGAGAAGTTAGCTACGCTAGACCTCTGGAAAATACCGAATGGAAACAGAAAGAAGAATATCTTTTTCTCAGCTGTACATGGCACCTTCACAAAAAACTGATACTTTATTAAGGCATAAAAACCACAAGCAAACACAGAAAAGCAAAAATATAAAATTCAGAGGCAGCTAAGTGGTACAATAGATAGACCACAGGCTCTGGAGTCAGGAGGACCTGAGTTCAAATCTGGCCTCAGACACTTGACA